AAATACCTAATTTGATGCTAATTAGAACTCGCACTTGGTCTCCGCGAGGAGCTCGCGTGTGGCGGAAACGCGACCACGTGGCCACGTGATCACACCACGTTTATTGATATTTCCGAGGGAACACGGTCGTCAAGGAGGCTGGAAATTCGACGCGTAAGACACGCGAATAAAGTTCACGGTTTCATGGCATCGCCCCGGTGAGGATATTATTTGTACACGTCCGTGGACCGTTTAACTTTGTCGGAGCCGCGTCTCCAGCGGGCCTCCAGGTTTCTTTCCCTTTTTTTATTTTTTCTCCCTTTGCTCGAGAATCCAGGCTTAATTTGCGATTCAATTAAGAGAGGGAACGAGACGCGTGGGATACGCTGTTGGTCCCGCGATTGCGTTTTGATTTTCTGGGGATGATTTTGTGGCTTGTCGTGGGTTTTCTCGTTTCTGGTTTTCTTTTCTTTTTTTTTTAGTGGAGTGTGATTTGTTGCGTTCGACTGATTCGGTTGGAATAATCGGTTAATGTTAAATTAATTGAAAGGGGTTCTTTTAGGGGTGAAATAATGCAATGGCTTTTGAAGAGCTTGGAAAATTTTTGAACGAGATCATGATGGGATTGCCGTTCTTTTACACGTAATTCAACCCTTTGCACTCGGAGGTGATTTTGTTGTAGAAAAGGTTGCAAATCGGATCTTTGAAATTTTTTCAAACTAACGTAGAAATGAAGTATACCCTTTTATTTAAATATTCAACGTATTCTCTATTTCACTGCGGTGAAGAAATTTATGGAGGCTCATAGATCTGTTCTCTGTCTTCGTTAATTGTTCACCAAATGATTTAATGTCGCTTCTCAGTCGCCACTCGATTGCAAAGGGTTAAATATTGCAGAGGGAGATAATCAACCGAGTGATAAATTATTGATGATTCAAAAAACCGAGTGCACAGTCAAGTGCCTGTTTAATTAGACAATTAAATGGACAAGTAAATTCAAACTTAATAGTAATATAATTTGAGGGGAAAGCAATAAACATTGAACCAACGTTTGAAAAATATTTTCACTGGAAAATGTTCAGAAACGTTTAATTTTTAGTGTTTCAAAGTTTATTTTCTTTCTCCTTTAAATTTCAATTCTCTCAGTTTCTCCCTTGCACCCTTCACTTGGAAATAAATCTTTTCCTAAACGAATCTACGAATAAAAAATAGTCGAAAGATTTGCAAATCAATTCATCGTACCTCCAAATGGTTAGAAAAATAAAGGAACACCAGTTGAACGGGTTAAAATCGAACGAAAACAGAAATAGAATGAAGAGTCTCATTTTCAAAGTCCAGATGTACGTAACTATTTATTATACGATAATAGTCGCACTCGAATGCAGCACATTAATTTTATCTATACAGTTTTACATAATTGGTTCGCCCTTCGTTTCTTTTTTTCACTTTTCTTGTATATTTTTTTTCCATTTTTTTTTTTTTGTTTTGTTTTGTTCATTCATTAAGACGCTGACGTACATTAAATCATCGCTATGCTACACATGCCTAACATGCGACTGCCGCCACTTGCCGACTATGCAGACTATTTCCGACTGGACGCGCGTCCCCGTCGAGCACACAACGCGCCACATCGCTCGGGTACACACAGAGTGTCGCAAAATGTGGCATAGAAGTGTGAAGACGCGCGCGCGATCACGGTGTCTTGTTTGTTTTGTTTTTTTCTTTCTTCGCGAAGATAATTGACGAGAAAATTGTGTTCTCCTTGGATGATTATTTTGGGAAGAGGAGGGAGGGAGGAGGATATTTTGTTCACTGGAAAGGATTCGTAGGATTTAGAATTCCATCAGGACGATCCATTTTGTTTTTTTGTTTGGTCTCGAATGTGTCGTCGTCTGCAGTCGATAAATATCATTTCGTCTTTTTCTTCTTCTTCTTCTAATTACCACGTATATATATAAAAATTATAAGTTCTCGATCAGTTACAAATAAATTTCTCCTTCTTCTTCATCTTCTTCTTCTTCTTCAGCTTCTTCTTCTTCGTCGTCTTCTTCTTCTGCATTTCGTTCATAGGAATCCTCGTTTCTATATTTTTTAATTGTTCATCGAAACTTCGCGTTCGATAATTCGTTTCTTCTTTTCTTCTTCTTCGTTCACCGTGGTTCTCTGACTTTGTCCTTCTCATTTGTTCGTTTCTCGGTGTCCATCACTTCGCTCTACACGTCGATGGATCCAGCTCGAGAGAATTGACAGCCGCTTAGGTCTGGCTAAATACACTCTGCGAGCTGTTCTTTGCTGATACTCAATTTCACTCTAATTTACATACCGTGTCGTCAGTGGTCGAACGAGTGTGTTTCAGTTTTTCGTATTCTGCGTGTAATTATGGAAAAAGTGAAATTAAAGAAAATAATAATTCAGAGTGAAAATGTAACGTGGATTTTAATGTTCAGGAATATTCACGCTTATCTCTGATCGGTTGGAGAAAATGAATATTTTATACGGTATTTAATAGGAAGTTTTGAACACCTTTCGACTCATGGCGACTCTGGATTCGACAGGCACCGTACAAAAAGAACTCGTATCTTAGCTACTCGTATGTACGTACGTTTTTTGGCACGAGGAGAGGAACGCCGTTTTACCACACCTGTCGCTCGTTCGTTTGCGATTCTCTAGCCCGTAAATCGCCGTTATCAAAAAAGTGTCTTCGTGACACGGTTCTCGGCTAAAAAGGAGGAGTGAAGCAGCGCGCGATGCTGGGCCTGCGTGATACACTAGGAAAAAGATCTCAAGTGCGTTTTTGTTTTAATACAGTTTTTATCCCGAAATATACTCACCGGAATATGAACAGAGGGAAATGAACGCTTTTTCACGCTTCGTAAAATTCTTATATACCGCGAGCTTTAATTTAATGACGAATTTAATAATTGAGGAAGACGTGTCAATGTTTCTACTAATTTTCACTTATCAAAATATTGTTTCTTACTTTTCTCTACTTTACTGTGCAGTAAAATCAGTTTTATGATAAAATGTGAATATAAATATAAAATATAATGAAATCATTTTTGAGAAGTAAAATTGACGAATGAAGGATGATGTCCTTATGGATACTCGTTAAGCACTCAAGTGTAGTTAAAATGGTGTTGATAGTGTTAAAGGCCTCTAACAGTATCATTTAGAATAATTATAATAATTTTACGATATAATGGAATGAGTGAGAAAAAGGAACAAGTATACCACTAAACCTTATTTTCAGGAAATCGAGAAAACCAAAATTGTTCTAAAATTATCATTTGGGAATTACTATGTCTTCGAGTGATGTGTATAATAGAAAGTGTTTCGTTTTAATCTTTAATTTAACTGTAAATCAATTTCTTCCCGTTTCCCAAAAATAAGCTCTTTTCCTTCTTCTCATCCATTCGATTGTTCAAGTATTAATTGAGTGGATTTCGATTTTAGAGGAAATTCAATGCTCAAGATCGACAATTTTTAAATAATTTTATTAAATAAGCAGCAGTGTCAATATTTTCTATTTCCCAAAAAGAAGATGCAGTAGAATCTCTTTCTTTTTTTACTCGCCCATTCAATTATTTAGGTATTAATTGAACGGATTTAGATTTTAGTGCAAACTCAATGCTCGGTATTAAAATTTTAAAATAATTTTAATAAATAAGCATCTATATCGATTTTCTCTATTTTCCAAAAATAAGATCCAGTGGAATCTTCTCCTTCTTCTCACCTATTCAATTCATTAAGTATTATTTGAGCGAATTTAGATTTTAGCGAGAACTCGACGCTCAATATTAAAATTTAAAAATAATTTGAATAATTAAGCAGCTATATCAATTTTTTCTATTTTCCAAAAATAAGTGGAATCTTCTTCTCTTTCTCACCCGCTGAATTACGCTCGTTCCAAGAAAGCTGTTGCTTCCATTTTAACCTGAATTAACCTTAAAACCCAAAGAACATCATAAAACACGATTTTCATCGTCGTCGAACAACAATTTTTCCCATCGGAAGATCTTTTTCCATATACGCAGGCCCCAGCTCACGCTCTCGCTAGCGAGACAAACTATCGCCTAGTACCTTTGGTAATTCGGATGTGCATGGAACTATGATTATTATCACTGATTACTTAAACATAATCCATTTCAGCTGGGGCTCTGAGTGCACCAGCTGCTCTCCGCTACAGGACTACGAATCCTGACAATTTCCTGGTGAACTATCCGCGCCTCGCTTCAAGATCGTTCCCTTAGATCGTTAGATCCGGAAGATGGTTTGTTTTATGTAGCGTTTTATGGGTTGTTGATGGATCGACCGATCGTTTTTAGCGTGGCACGCCGCGTAAATTGAGCCCGGGTGATCGATGAACGCTCGTTTGTTCCTGTTACGTGTAATTGACGTTCGCAGATTGTTCCAAGTATAATCATTGAAACGCGTGCGTACGTTAGGTTCAGGCTCGTGGAACGTATACGATAATTACACGGATTCGACATGTTCGTAGGTAGAAAACCGTTCGCCGTTGATTACACCTCGTAGACATCTTCATCCGTTCCCTTGTCGCTTATTAATTAACAAACAGACTTTTCCAAACAGGTAGGATTCAATTGCAATCACCCGATAGACTTATCACCACCTCGTCGAACAGTTCGTTCCTCTTTAGAAACCAAAAATTTCTCGACTCCCGGTTCAATCCCAGAATTTCTACTCACCAGGAAGATCGTCAGAGGATTCGCTAGTCCCTTCGCCTAGACACTTGTTCTCCGCGCCGTGTTCAGGCGAGGAAATCGCGAGTTTGTCTTACGAACGTTCGTTAATTAACGACAGAGAAAAGAAAAAAAAAGTGTCAGAAAGAGGGATGGAGAGAATACGAGGAAATTGGAATACGATCGAAAGAGTAGCCTCACGAGTTTCCTCGGCTGAATCTCGGCGCGTTGAAAGTCGATCGATCCAAAGAAGGACGCGATCCTTCATCCAAGATGGCTGGAAAGGCTGCTGTAGCTGTCTTCCTCCATCTCAAGCCGTCGTCAGTAAAGATCGGAGAACGAGACCTGAGAGGAAACGCCGGAATGTAGGTGATGAAGAGCGTGGAGCTCCTCCATCGAAGTCGACGGCATGCTGTTGCTGTCCCCTAGGATGCTGGCCGCCGGTCCCACGTTAGGCGAGCCGGCCGTGTTCGACGGCACCGGCGTGCCCGGACACCCCACGTTGCTGCTCGTCGTGTTGCCCTCCTGCCTCATCATGTTCCGTCGCCATTTCGCGCGGGCGTTTTGGAACCAGACCTGCGCCAATCGACAATCCCATCTTTTCACGAACTTTTCGATTCTTTTTTTTATTATTATTATCGTTGAAGGTTTTTGCAATTTGCCAATCTTGCATACACAGGGTATTTCGCTAGAGAACGTTTAAATTATTCACGTTAGTGTTGAAAGTAAAGAGAAACACAAGTAATGGAGTGTATGATCGAACCAGAAGTGTTTCAGGGAGGAAAAATAAGCGATCTTTAACAATTTTCTTTGGCTAAACTAGTAAAGATATTGTGATACTTTTTGTTCTAGTGGAAAGAGGCATCCTTGGGCTATTATAAAAGAATTTTTCTTATGTCATTTTTGGTACTGTTATTATAAATTTTGTAATTTAAGTTAGTACTGTATCCCTTGTTGGCATGCAGCCTAGCACCTGTTAAAGTGATTTGAAAGCAGAAAATATTCAATTTTATTGTTCTTTGATGGTTTATGCTGAGATTGAAGGGATTTGTGACCAAAAAAGGGATAACGAAAATTTGAGAATTTTGAATATTCGCAGAGTGAATAAAAAATGAGATGTATAAATTTAGATAGAAGACAGGATGGAGATGATTACGAGAAGTGGTTTACGACGAATTCTTCTGCCTTTCGAAAGATGTTTTCGTTACATGAAGACGATTCACAAAGATGACATGAAATTGGTAGATAATGGTATTGAGTGAAATTTGGAAGGTGTCGACATTAAGAATGACGAACAGTGGATGATTTAGGTTTCCGAATACACGACATTCAATTCTCAGTAAACGTGAGAATGATCGATTAAGAAAAACAAGATAGGAAAATCTAGGGAACGAAATTTCAAGGAATTACTAGAGTAATTACCGTTTAATCAGACAAAACTGAAAAAGATGAATTTTATAGGATTTGAAGGATTCTATAGAAAATATAACAGCGAGTGAAATGTCAATTGCAATGCAACTGAAGAGATCCTCTCTCGCGGTGTATCAATTTTACAAGCAGTATCGAATTCCAAGGGACAATTTTTTTTCTAGACATTATCGATTATTATTTCAATTAATGTAAAAACGATACTCTCGCGTTTCGTTCGAATATTATACAGGTATACATAGATTCGATGAAACGATCTGGCTGTTAATTTTTCAGCGATCTTGCTGGAATTTCGAGTTCGTTTTAGAGCGAAGGAAATCGCGAGCGTTGAAATTTATTTCATACCTGAAGCACCCTCTTCGAAAGCCCTGTCTTTTGCGCCAGTTGCTTGAGGTCCTTCGCGTCGGGGTTCTGATTTATAGCAAAATAATTCTTCATCGTTCGCAACTGATGGTGCTTGAAGCTCGTTCTCATGCGCTTCGTTCGCTGGCTCTGGTGCACCGGTCCCGGGGAGCCGACAGACGCTTCGTACGCCGCCAAGGATTCCATGGACGAAGACAGTTCGGTGGGATGAAGCAGCTCTGCAACCAAATTGCCCTCCTTCATTCGATATCCCTTTCGATTATTTCATTGCACGGCGCACAACTCCGAAGAATATTCAACTCCTCGGCAATTCTTTGAAACCTGGATCTGGTGAATCGAGAATTTAATACATCGACCGGTGTTTTAGGGTATTCGAGAAATGATTCGAAAGTAGAAGTAACGAGAAAATTGGTTTAAATTAGAAAATAAGAAATTTTGTTCAACGATATAACATGAAAACGTAGATGACTATTTTTCAAGATTTACGACTGATTAGAGCATCGATGAACCTTGATTGTATCTAATCTAAGTCTTAAAATTATACCATTTTAGACACAAGGAAAAGTCAGAAATTAATATTGTTGAAAATCAGCTTCGAAATGTTGTTCAACCTTGATTGTATCTAATCTGAATCTTAAAATGATCACTTTTTCGACGAGAAACAACGTCAGAAATCAGCATTGTTGATAATCGGCTAAAAAATGTTGTTCCATGATATAACACGAATACCATAGCTTTTGCTTCACAGTTTCTCAAGATTTGCAACTGATTAAAGTACCAATGGACTTTAATCTAATCTAAATCTGAAATATGTAGGTTCTCGGGTAAAAAGCATAGTTAGGAGTGAACATTGTTGCCATTCAATGGGCACGTTTAATTAATCAAGATAAAAGGCAGACATCTTCGATAGGACCACAGGTTAAGTGTACGCGTGCACTAAGTTCATACAGCCGCGGTCTTTCGCGTACCTATTACAAAGATTTCTTAATCTGATCGGGCTGTGGGACGCGCGAAAGGAGCCTCGGCCGTGTCTGACGTAAAAAGACGAGACAGCGGACAGAAAAAAAGGCAGGCGTCGATCGAACGATACACAGAACGTTCGATGGTAAATGAGAGGATTCCTCTTTGATCGGTGGTGAACGCTCGTGATCCATCAATCGGCGATAGACGACTATCTAGCCTGCCTATCGGACGATTTGTTCTTCTGTTTGGTGACAATCGTGGTACTGCCTTCTTGTAAAAAGAACAATCTCACTTTCGAGGTTACAGAAAGATTTAGATAGCGACTTTCTTCTGTATATTGTTCAGAAAATTAAGTGGCTAAGTGGAAAATTAACCCTTTAACACTGAAACAACCGAAGTCGAATTTAGCATATCTTCTCTCTTATGAAATGTGTAGGAATACTTAATAAAGAACTTCGAAATTAGATATGTAATTATCGCCTTGTTTTAAAAGCGTTTTAATAATTTTTGCAATTTGAAATGAGAAATCTGAAATCTGTGATTTTTATGGATCTTTTGGTTTCCTAGTGTTAACATGATTCACACGACTAATTTCGTCACTTTCCGTGTTGAGTTATCATTTTTACATATTATAGCAAAAAAATTAGTCACAAAATTAAGAATAATAGGAAATTTATTTCTATGCGGCTAGAAAATAATTTGACAATTTTTAACAAGTTCAATTTTCAACAGTGTGAATCTTAAGGGATTTAAAAAGTTGACAAATTTGAGCGTTTTTTTTTTTCGCTTTCCATATTACATTATCGTTTTTACATATTGTAGCAAAAACGTAAATTGCAGAATTGTTTCTACAGGCTTAAGAAACAGTTTAATAATTCTGACACATCGACATAAAAAAAAAAGACGAGCCTCAAGGGGTTAAAGAAGTTGAGAAATTCCAGAGTTTCTTCTTCGCTAATATTTCCTTCTTAATCTTCAACTTTCCTCAAATCCCCAAAGTCGCAGAAAATTATTCCCTTCACAGTTCCCCGGCAAAATAAACTCTCCGAAGTTCTCCCCGTACAATTCATTAACGAGGACCAATTAATAGCCACGAATCCCCCCAAACCCGTCGAAAACTGCAACAATCGATTCGGCATATTTACTGTACACCAGGTGACAAGCGATCTGAATCGATCATCGGTCCCCGTCCTCTCGTTCTATCCACGGAACGAATTTCCGCGCACGTAAGCGCCCAGCTAAGTCGAATAAAAGCGCATCGTGCAAGGGAGACGACATCGGTGCAACCGTTCAGTGCCGTTGCAAGTTGCAGTTGTTGCGCGCCGCCGGAGCGAAGGAACGCATCCAATAAATAAGACGACGAGGGTAACCATTGAATTCAATCGGAGAGAAAGAACGGGTTCCAGGCGACGTTCGTGGACAGCCGCGGGCAGCGCACACCAGAGAAGAGAAGAGGGCAGAGGGAGAGAGGAGAGATCCAGCCAGAAGTAAATCCCCGAGCACGTATCCGCCATTACTGTTTATTGTCCCGAACTTCCATTCCCTACGGACGCGACGGGCTGTTCTTCGCGCTGGCTCGCGATCCAGAAAAGAGAGAAGAACGGCCACACTGCCGCTGGATCGCGTTTTGTTTCCTCTCGAGAGGTGAACGACACTGATTTTTGTTTCCTCGTTGCGTCGGTCGAGATGGAAAAATTAAAGATTCCGTGGAAGTTTCGGCCTTTAGGGAGTTTCTTACCGAGGAGGATGATTTTTGGTGGGTTTCGATGCTGGTTTATGGAGGTATGATTGTTAGGGATGATTTCTTGCGGTCGCGATTTAAGCGGGTTCGTGGTGAATTTGTTATTGGGTTGATGGTTGATTCTTGATTGGAGTGAGATTGATCGATATTGTGGTTAACGGTGGAAAGAGAGGTATGGTCAATTGGAACGGAGATATTAACAGTTGCGTTAAGAAATTTTAACGAATGAATGGAAATAAAGAATTTTTAGAGCTATAGAAACAGATTTTAACATTATTGTAACTCTACTTTATGTTATTAAGTGAAGAGTTCATTAATAAAGAATTATCGTTGAGGTGAAATTGAAATCAGAACATTTGCTTATTGTTATTTTGTAACGGGTGGAAAATAATTGGGGATAATGAAAAAACAAACCCCTAATACATGATTTAAAACAGAAACAGTTGGTTCAATTTTTACCGAGGAACTTTTCAACCGAGATATTTGTCCTCATCACCTCTTCTATACAAACTGAACCTCGCTATCACTCTCAATACATCATTCATAGACAAATAAAATAATTTTGGAGTTGAAGTAGAGTATAAATTATATTTCAAGAGATCATTGCCTATATCTCTACAATCTTGCAATAACAGATCAACAGAAACCTCGAGAACCAAACCTAAAAACCTCTCATTCCACTTAACCTAACCTATCAACACCAAAAGAAGGAGAAACCCACTTTTCCTTCAACTTCTCATTCCAGTCATCAACAGAGAAACCCAATTACTCCTGTCTCAACAATCTCGCAGCAATAGATCAACAAAAACCTCAACATTCCACAAAATTCCCTATCAAAACCCCAAACACGAGTACCTCTAATTCCATTTAACCCAATTCACCAACACCAAAAAAAAAACAGGGAACCCACTTTTCCCTCGACTTTTCATTCATTCCAGTCGGCAACAGAAAAACCGAGGAAAAGCGTGGTTCTCGACGCCGTCTCTAACTTCTGATTCCCAAACGGATCGCTTTCCCTCGAACCAGCTCTATCAATAAATGCGAGCGAACGCCCCTGCAAAAGGAATACGCGAGTTTTTTCATCGAGCTGGCCTGGTTCCCAAGCCGAGTGCTCTCCGTCTGTGTGACTGGACCACGAAGAAGAAGGGAACCAACAGTAAAGATGGAGGGAGGAAGCGCAGGGGGGAGTGGGAGGGAGGGTAGATGGATTCGAGGACGGTTTTCGTGGTTCAAGAATGAGATTACAATTTGTCAGGTCCGGGCTAGAGGGCGAAATCACGCGGATGGCACGACGAGTAGAGACGGCGAGGGCCGTCTCGAACCACGGCAAGAAACTCACGCAGGCGGCATTATAGTGTTCCGCCGGCCATTCTGCTGGCTGCGGCCACGTATTGGCCACGGCAGCATTCTTTTCCGGCCAGATCGGCCAATCGATGCATCTCGCCACCGATACCCATCTGTCACTGTCCGCGGGGCCTAGCCTTTTCTTCGCTCGCGCGACCGGCGTGCCTCGCGCACGAATCACGGGACGTCCGGTGAAATCGCCCGTATGGACGTTTCTGCTGCTCCTCTTCCGGGAATAGACGAAATTCTGCGCAATTTTTCAGGCTTCTCGTCGAGTTTTCGTGTGATTTTTTTTCATTGAGAATTTGTTCGTTCGTGAAGAATATTGGAATTGGTGGAAGTTAGGTGGATTTCGTTGATATTCGGCCAATGGAAATGTGATTTTTTTAGCGAAATTGTAATAACTACATTATGAATAATTTGGGTATTCTGTGAAATTGTTGTAGATGAAATTTGAAGGAATATTTTGTGAGAAAAGGAGGTTTGAAAGTTAGTAGATTAATTTTGTCTGTGAATTAATTCGTTGCAACCCTTTTCATGTGAGATATGTTGCTCGTAGAATGAGCTAATATAGTTTATTTCTAGATTTCGAAATATATTCTTACGTTTAAATGACATGAAATGAAAATTCAAGAATAATGTTTCTCTCTGCTGGAATTAACTATCGACTTTTTTTCAAGAGTTTCATATTTATCGATCACGTCTGTAATGGATAATAAACCGTATACGAGTCAGTAAACAAATTACCGTGTACTTTTTCAAGAACCATTAAACGACCATTACTTTACCCAGAAGGAAACAGGTAGCTATAGCACGTATCAGAATATAGTCATTCCAAGGTCACACTTTACACCTTCTAACAAAAACTCAGTCCTTAATTCTAAACTGCTCGAAGTGTAATACACTTCGCCATAAATATAAACTGAAGCTTAAAAAAAAAATTCACGATTTGCTGAAATTCGTGAAAGAAATCGAATTAATTAAAAAATTATTACAATAAATTTTTCACACTGTACCTATTCACCTTGCAATTTACGCTTCGTAAATCATTATTAAAAAGAAAGAGTTACACACGTTGGTCGTTAAACGAGTGTTACAACGACACAATATCTTCCTGTTACTCCAAAATGGCTACCAAATCATTCTCCATAACTCTTTCACAAACGATCCTGAAACAAAGACGCACGGAAGCGAAAAAACCACCCCTATTTCCTTGCCGAACAAAACCCGAAAGCCTGATCTCCGGCTGGGCTAATTTTTCAACATCACAAGAACCGTAACCGCGTGGATGAAAGTATTCTCAGCGGCGGAGAAACGGCGGTCTTATCGCGGTCGCAATTCCAACGATTCATCGAACGCGTCCCGGCCGACGTCCAGACGGAATAGTTCGAAGGGATCCAGTCGGACGGATCTGCAAAAAGTGTCCCAATTATATATAAAGACAATAAAACGCGAACCAGTCGGCCGGTTCCCACCCCGTCCAAGGTTGTCTTCGCTTCATGGACGATTTTATGGCTGTTGCTCGTAAATTCCGGCCCGGTAGCCCTAATGTTATACCTCGTGATCGCGCGTCGATTATAAAATAACAGGGAGAGCATGGAAGATGCTCCGAGTAACCTGGAAATGTCGTAAATATGGCGAAACGAATGAGAAAGAGGCGTACAGTGGACGAAATCGTCGGTAGATAAATGTTACCTATCCATTTATCTATATTTTGTCTCGTTTGATCGATATTTTTAATTCTCGTGAATGAAGGAAATTTTTGATTTTGTTAATCGTCATTTTTCTTCTCGTAATCGAAGAAAAATTGGCGAATATTTTGGTATTTGGAGTAGTTAGTGTCTTTCGGAATTAATTTTGTGGATTTATTAATAAGTTCTTCCAGAAATTTAAAGAGAGCTGAGTAATAATATTGATATTCAATTTACTGAAATCCTACCAAGAGAATCTCGATAATAACATTTCTCCAAATTGTCACGGCTAAAGATTTGATTACTAAAAATTGACGACTATAAATACAAAGTTTCATTTATGAAAATCCAATTTTACATCACCTATACTTCCCTGTTAAAAAATATTGTTCGCATAATAATTCACGAAACACGAAACAATCGTTACGTGGCAAAACTTAAAAGCAGTTTACCACATCTTCGTCCATAAAAGACTCGTTCGTCACTTTCTCTCTCGGTCCCGCATTTCTTCATTTCCATCGAACAAACGAACGAAACGTCTTCCGGCGTATCGAAGGGGCCAATTTAACGAGAGAGTCCAATTTAAGGGAGCCGCGGCGGCCAAATGCGAAGACACGTATACGCGAACGAGTGGGGCAGGCTGTTTGTTCTTCGGCTCTCGAAAAGGAAAACCGTTTGACCGGCTGGCACATGTCCGACACGCGGGCGCAAACAGGCACCGGAGACGTTGTTCCTTCGATCCTCACAGACTTTAACGAACACACTCGCCCGAGGATCAATTAGACAGCCGGCGCAAAATTTCACCGAAGAATTCCGCGTGTGTGTCGATGAGGGAACGCCTAACGAGGCCTCGCGCGAACAATCTCCGGCCGATTCGCGGCCCGTGATCCTCGAAAGCTCGGGCAAATGTTTGCACACCGAAGGAACCAGCCATTATACTCATTGCTCGGCAAATAATGCAACTCCCCCCAGTTCACCTGCTCGATTCGAGGGATGGAGAATGTAGAAAGAGAGCGAAAAAGAGAGAAAGAAGGAGTGAGAGAGGGAGAGAGATGTATAACTAGGTAGTTCGAAGAGAGAAAGAGAATCGCGTGTGTGTGTATATTGAAGTGAGAGAGAAAGAAGAGAAACGAGATCGTGTACCACGTGTTCCCATGGTTTTAAGACCTACGTTTGAAAGCACACACCCCCGTTTACCATCCGGCCCAATTATCCCTCTGTGCAACCCCTTCCATCCCTCTCTGTTACGTTCCCGCGTTGTTTCACCACTGCCAATTACACGTATTTGCGTCCTCGGGCCGAGCCGCGCCGAGACTGGATTCTTGTGAATTCTTTATTGTTTCGACTGTACGACGGGAGGAACAAAGGGTCCCAGGGCCGCGTTTTTCTTCGTCCCTCGCCTATTTCGCTCTCTGCGCCGTCGACGCGCGATTAATCGATCCGCGGTGTCGCGACGTTGCTTCTGGATCGATCGGTAACATCCATGAATTCTGAGGAATTTCTACTCATTTCTTGGATCGATGGACTGAGTGTAATTACGAGCTGAAGTGTGAATTTTATGAGCTTAGCGTGGGAATTTTGTATTTTGTAAGATTCTGTTTTTATAAATTTTGGGATTCAATTCTCTTTTTTGTGGATAGTATTATTCAGCGAGTGATTTTTTTTCCACGCTGTGCTGAGAATTATTATTTCTTCATTTTCAGATTGTAGATTTTCTCGAATTCTTCAACAGCTACAAAGAAAAGTTTGCACTGCCTGTGCCTATTAAATGGCAAACGAACTATTCTTGAAAACAATTTTGTTCACTTAGCAAGATGGCGAAGTAATGATTTAACTGGATTTCGACGATAAACTGCATAGTTTCGTTCGAACAAAATTGCATTATCTAACGCCGAAAGAACATTTCTCTAACGCCGTACTAAGTGGTTCAACTTTGGGCTTGTTTTTTAAAATATTGCGTCTATATTTATCTAAAAGTTCTCATCACACTTTTTGAAGAACGAGTATATTTATAATTATTCGTCGTAAAAATGCTGATAACATAATATTAATACAATATTCAGTATAAATACCAACTGTAACAATTTAAATAAGGAAAGAAGTGCACAGTGTCTTTCAGTGTCGTCGATTTACAAGCGATAGAAGCTTTCGCATAGACCTAATAGTTCCTCAGGTTAAAACAGCAAGAAAGGAAGAAATTATTCGATAATTACGACATTTACAAACTACGAAGAACCAAAAGAGCGTGAAAAAAGGGATAAGAATAATAAAAATGTGACTCACCGAGGGCTCCGGCAGCGAGCCTCATGGTGACGGGCAGCTCAGAGCCGGTGACTTCCGACAGCTTCCTCTTTCTGGGCCGGCCTTTCTGCACGGTACCGGAAGAGGTGATCGGGCTCTGCTCCGCGGCGCTGTAATAAGCCGGAAGTGGCGACACCCCAGGCGAGCCGAGGTCCTCGATGTTGCTGGCTGCGCTCCCGTAATCCCCCGCGCAGCACAGCAACTCGTAGTGAGGTCTTGGGATGGGACCGACCAGCTCGTCATTCGTGAACCTTGCTGTCGAGTATTTCAGTGGCGACCCTGCGTTATCCTCCGAGTTCGATGAACGCGCGAACGCGATCACGCTCGCGAGAGGAGATAGACGAACGGCCAGGCCGCTTTCCGCTCAATCGGATCGATGGATCGGCGTATCGAGCGTTTTATCATGATCCTCTTCGAACTCGCCGCTTGCTTCCACAATGACAATTGATCGCGTGCGTTATCTCGGTACTTAAACGTTTCTCTACGCTCCTCGAATATCGTTGTTTCACGCAGGCAAATTTATTTCTCCGCTTTGTAATGCGGAATTTTTGAATTTTTTTTGATTTTTGTTTCAGTTAGGTCAGAAATGCCCGCTATTTGGAGTAATAAATGAGGACGTTGCTGGGAAGAGTTACGGTAAGGAGAAAAGCTGAGCCAATTAGAGAAATTTTCAACAAAAGTGTAATGTTATTTATTAGTATACGAAACGAAAGAAAATAAGAATCAACGGTGCTCTAATTCCTTCCTTATTATCTGAATCTGAATATATTGCAGCCGAAAAGGAGCACATTTTGAATATTGAACAATTGTTTGCGTTTCCTAAGGCAATGCGGAAGGGATTAGCACCGTTGATTTTTATTTTCTTTCGTTTTATATAGTAATGAAGAGACAATACTTTTGTTAAATATTTCTGTGATTCGTTCAGTTTTGCCCCTTACTATATGTAGTTTCGAGAAAAACTTCAGTTGAGTAATTTGAATTACAGAATTTTTGAATTTATAATTAGTCACTCGTCAGACTTCATTATAGGGGAAGAAACTATTGTCACTATTATGTGTTTCACAATTCAATTTCTCTTTTAATTAAAAGATTCGATAAAACTGTTACGATAAAAATTGCATGGTTTTGATAATAGTAGTAACATTTGGTACTCAGACAGAGCCAAATTTAGCGGATACACCGTGTGTGCAAAGAGTTTCGAGCCTAAGCTGAAGATGATTTTTTGAGTCACTTGAGCAACAGCATGATTTCGCGACTTTCTCGACCAATGCTTCTCTGCAACGTCTCGATCAACGCTTTAAACCACATTTATTTATTTAGTCGGTATTTTTTTTAAATTAATGGTAAGTACTTTTCAAAATAAATAGTAAAAATGAATATTTTGGTCGGTGTAAATTATCGGTAAAATTTTGTTTATTTGGTCAAAAAAATTTTAATTTTTGATTAGATTAGGTTAGGTTAGGATACTTTAATTTAAATACTGACCAATTATTTAAAATACTAATTAAAAATTTTTTTAAATTCTAACCCAATAAATGGCAGCCATTATAAGGGATCCAAAAGTCGAGAAGATATCTCAGTTCGAAATCATTCTGTAGACTGCAAAACTCTTTCATACAATTAATAAATAATATCTTCTTTTATTACTCAAAATAGATGAACAGGTACCTATATCCCTCATATTCCCAACAAATGCAATTTGCTCTAATTTCCATTTGCAAACAACTATAAATTGACCGCTAAATATCTTCTCCAACTAACTTCTAAATTCTCCAACACCCTCTGCGCAATAATCCCTCGCCCAGCACACGTTCCATCAATTCAACAGCTCTCTCCGCGGACATAAACAGTCAGCTGAAGAGATCGCGCTGCCAATCGTAGAAGACTCGAGCTTAAACCCTCCCTCTTTCTCGGCTCATACGTGAGCCATTATTCGCACGGTTCCCCTCGCGATCGATCAGCGTTCAGTGGATCGATACGCGTGCACACACGCACGAGCAGCGGTTGATAAGCGGGCGAGCGCCGATCGAATCGATCTCGCGGAGCAGCAAGCGGCACCGCGACGTCTTTCCCTTTACGAGA